ATTTGGACCATTTCTCGATTTATGCGTGTCATCCTTGCGCAGGGGCCATGCTAATCTTCTCTGTATCATTCCAATTTTAACGGATGTCCCGAAGGACTTTTTTCTTGTTTTCGCTTTTGCGCTCGGATATCTTTGTGACGATATATATAGAACGGGAGTAGTTGTGAGTAAGAAGATAAAAAATGAATTGATATCTTTTTTGTTTCCTTTTGTTTTTTTCGCTTTTGCGCTCTGATACTCTTGTGACAATATGGGTTCAGCCTCCTGATGAGTCGGTGAAACTCCGACGAAACAGTTTGTCACAGCCCCTCGTTTGTTGTCTTCTTCTCTCTGTCTGCCTACGGTTTACCGGGCAGTAAACAGTTTGTCACAGCCCCTCGTTTGTTGTCCTCTTCTCTCTCTCTGCCTACGGTTTACCGGGCAGTTCTGTTTGTGACGATATATATATATATTTGTGACGATATAGACTGTTGAGGGTTCAGCCTCCTGATGAGTCGGTGAAACTCCGACGAAACAGTTTGTCACAGCCCCTCGTTTGTTGTCCTCTTCTCTCTCTCTGCCTACGGTTTACCGGGCAGTTCTGTTTAAAAATGAATTAAGTTTTTCTTGTTTCTGTTTTTCGCTTTGGCGCTCTGATATCATGTGACAATATATGTTTGTTGTCCTCTTCTCTCTGTGCCTACGGTTTACCGGGCAGTTCTGTCTGTGACGATATATATGTATATACATACGCGCTCGCGAAGAGAGACACACTACGCGGAGGGGATTATTACCTTTCTGTGTGTGTTTTTTTCCCTGTATTCTTTGTGACGCTGTTGTGAAAGGGTTTTTTTTTTTTTTTTTTTTTTTTTTCTTCCTGTGTGTTTTCCTGTATTCTTCGGATTTTTTTTATTTTTTTTTTTTGGTTCGGACAAGCGAAAGTGGAAAAGGAGAGGATTATTAGCTTTTTTTGTACGAATTGATCTTCTTCGGGCTTTCATCTTTTTCTTCTTTATCCTTAATCTTATCCCTTCATCTTATGAATTCCACCCCCACCCCCAAACCTTCGTTAATAGGGGGGTCATCCTCGCACAGGGGCACGGGCATATTTTTTGTCTTTTGTGCAATGTGGAGAGTAGTGGAGCGAGGCTCGATCTGTACCTCTTATTCTCACAATCTTCATCCTTAATGCTTTTTATCCTAAATCATTTTTTATTCTTAATAATAAAAGAAAGAAGATCCTTAATCATATTTTTATCCTTAGTAATCAAATATCCTTAATTAATTAATAATCTTATTAAATCTTTGTATTTGGACTCTGGATCGGTTCAAATATCCTTAATCATTTTTTAATCCTTAATTAATAATAAAAAATATTCTTAATTACGTAATAATCTTATTAAATCTTTTGTATTTGGACTCTTGTTGATCTGTTCTTGTGCAGACTTCGGTCAAATCTTGCCGCCAATCTCGGAGTTGAGCGGAGGGGTTGACGTCAACAACAAGCTTTTTCCACCTTATCGTCGTCGACCTTTGTGAGCTCCGTTCTCGGCGAGTCGTCCGGTGTATCTTCGGCGAACATTCCACGTCCAGGAAACTGCCAAATTAGGAAAGGAAGGGAGGACAAATCTGGCAATTCCAGGAAACCTCCCGGAAGGCAGAAATACGGTCTGAACAACTCTGCACCGAAAGCCTGCGGACAGAGAGAGAGAGAGAGAGAGCGAATCTGAAGAGGTGTGGTGTGTGCTGGGGAACAGAGAGAGAGAAGGGTGGGAGTGTGAAGACTCGTGGTGTGTGTTTATATGCGCCAAATTTTGCTAAATATAGCAACTAACCACTCACCCGCTCACCCACCGACTGACCCACCGACTGACCCACACAACCACCCACCCACCAGTTCAGCATCCGAACGCACATGCACGCGTGCACGCAAGCACGCACACGCACAGTGCCTCTCGCAAATGTAGTCATTGACAGCTGTATCATTTATACCTTCATTACGCCCGTTTTCCTAATCAGGAAAAGACGTGTGCTGTTTCCGTTGTGTCCTCTTTCCTAATCAGGAAAGGACGTGTGCTGTTTCCCGTGTGTCCCCTTTCCTAATCAGGAAAGGATGTGTGCTGTTTTCGTTCTGTAGGCGTTTCGAGAAATAGGCTCCGTTGTATTACATCACGAGGAGCTGATATAGATGACACTTTCCTGATTAGGGAAGGAGGAGAGCGTGCCCCACGAGTAATAGTAGTATTAGTACTAGGAGGAGGAGGAGGTGGCGGGGGCTGTGCAAAGGTGATTGAGGAGGAGGTGCAGAGAAAAACAGGTGTTAAAAAAGAAGACAAGGACACAAGCTGTGCCTGGGCTTCTTGTAGGGCCAGGTACGGAACTCTATCGATCCTGGTCGCAATTCCACGTGTCAATCATCCAGTCGTCTGCACTTGGCTCTTATCTCTGCCTTGTTCATCTGAGCTGGATCCCGACTGGAGTGGATTCTCTAGGGCACAGGACCGGAATCGTTCAGAGATAGAGAAGGAAGACGGGGAAGAGGAAGAGGAGTGCAGCAGCAGCAGCAGGAGGAGGAGGAGGAGGAGGGGGGGGGAGCCCACTCTTAGCATTATCAGCGGGCAACCCATCTTTCAGAATGGCATTTGTGTAAGTCAGAACCTCCCTCTCCTGTTTCCTTCACCTCCCTCCTACGTCCGTTTTCTCCTCCCCCCCCCCCC